ATATTGTTGTAGCTGAGGGAGCTCCACTACAAAGTCTATGCTCACATCTACACAAATCGACTCTACATGCCATTCCAAAGTCTATCTTGATGAAATAAATAATCATCATTTTCTGTCATAACCAAAACTTGAAGTGCACAAAGACAAGCATTCTCACGAGCCAAATCTCGAGCCATTAAATATAAAACATGCTTCTCTCTCTCTCTCTCTTAATACTCGTTTGAGTTTATTTGATAAATAAATGTCTGAAGAAAACAACTGTGGCATGAAATATGTAGCATAATGAACCCCTCTCAGTAGCAGCCGCATAAGCGATAAACTATCAAGGACATTCAGCAACTCCCTCAATAAGAGCTATCCTTTTTTTGGTATCAGCTTCTCAAACAGTTACAAAAGGAAGAGAATACAGCACATGATACCAGACTCAACCCAAAAAGCAATAGTAAAGCAAATATTATTCCTGAAAATGGTTGTAACACATAAAATTTTGATAAACCACGAAAATTCAAAAAATTTTATATGTATCCCAAATTTTGCAATTCTCATAATTTAATCAAAGCAATCTTTATAAAATTCTACACATGAAGTCGATCAATTCAATATAAAGCAATATATCTTAATTGAGAAGTATTGCGAGACATAAAATTTAAAAGTTGTAAGTTTAGTTAAATTAGTTAAACCTTAATAAATCATTAATCCCGCATGATTACTATTCCCAACCTACTTTTCATGTGATAATTAGTTATGAGAAGCAATTAGTGGGTTGAATCCATCGTATTCCCAAAGACTTCGAATCCTTCCCCACTCCCTATTCTAGTTCGCTCGGCAGAAGGATCCAGCGTAGGCTTCCACTCGGCTCCTATAGCATAGACGTGATTAGTAGCTAACAGAAGGGCAAGCGACGGACCTAAGAGCCGCAGCTCATGATAAGAACTTCCATGGAGATTTCTGTAAATATGAATCCCTATTTAGTGTTATTCTAAACATTACATTCCTTCCTTCTACTTCCTATTTTCGTTTTGACGATTGCCACTAATTTGTGTATTTTTTCATTTATGTTAATCGCAGCAGTAGTTGAACTTGTGTCGGAAGCGTCGAACTAGTTTGCAAGCTTTTGTAAGGGATTCTAACATGAAATCAGCGAGGGGAAAAGAGGATTGATGTGTTAGGAAGAAGCGGAAAGAACAATAGATGGTATCAGAAGAGCGGATTTATATACCAAGAAGCCCATTTAAGGTATGTTTTAGCAAATAAATTAAGTTATTGGTTAAATCACGAAGCGAATTATGAATCCATGAATTTCTACAATGCTTATGTATCAAAATTGTTTACACAAGGTGGCGAGCTCGAGATGAGCGTGTGGGAACTTATCGTGGGGCTGCTTCATCTAATAAGGTTAAATAATCTTGTGATAACTTAAAAAAATAATTTTCTATAATTTTTCTTGTGAATTTCATGTTTGACATGGATGCATTTGGAATTTATCGCATATTATGGATGAATACATGCATTGAATGTATGAATGTAAGTTGACTTCTTTTACGATACATGTGATATACTATAATATGTTATGATACAGATAAATTTACTTATGAAATTATTATTTGCATGTACTCATGTGTTATAATTTATGCATGATATATGAAATGTTTGTGATGAATGCGTGAAATAGGAATAATTATTTAAATGTCACAAGTAATATTATGGGTAGACTAATACATGAGTTCTTGCGAGCACACTATGTGGGGATGGGGTATTCCTAATTCCTGATGTTCAGGCGGCAACAAAATTCTGGGAACCATTGTGACCAAACGATGATAGAATGTACGGAAACATTGGTATCAGAGAGTCTATTGATAACTGTAATATTGGGAGGATCAACGTTTATCAATAGTTAATATAGCCTTGGGATAGGGTGATGACCCATGATATGAAAAGGCAAGGAAATAGTTGAGGTTTATAAATTGCACAAATGACATTGCAATGATGTTATGATTATATGGTTATGGGATACTGTTATGCTTATGAACATGCTTATAAGTACATGTTTATGAATACACATGAATAAATAACATATATATTTTATATAACAGTCATGATTTTCTACACCATCTGCTTTTCTTTTACATGTTTTATATTATGCTAGTATGTTGTGACATGTGTGTGGAGATGTATAGTTACATATAAGCATGCAAGTTATTTCTCTTTCATGAATAAAATCTTAATTTAGTCTTGATTATTTCTTTCAACTTCTTGTCGCTCGCTGCATGATTTACTTTTAGAAAGGGATAGGAGCAACGTGGTGAGTAATCAGGTGTGACTTGTATGGCTTGTCATTTATAGCATTGGGAGTTTGTATAGTCTTTTGGATACATATTTTTATTTATATTAGATTTAGTAGCTTTGTAAAGTTTATATGTTTTAATGATATGATTTCCACACATCTGAATATATATTAATATGAATTATTAATACAATGAAATGTATCAAGTATGTATGCGCCAATTTAGTTAAACTAGTACATCACCCAATAGGTGATGATTCTGCAAGTCAAAATGAGTGTTGATGAGAACTTAGTCTGGAAAAATCATCTGCCTTTGTCACAGCTCAGTCGACCCTTAAAAAGAGGATAGTTAAGGTGTGACAATGGCAATAAACATTTACAACCACACACCCTTGACATGGAAATACAACAAACCAAGAAAACACAGCTAAATGTATTTGAAAGTAGTGGTCAGTTTGATTAGTAGAGAACAAGTGGAAGGTGATGAGGTGTTGGATGGTTGTAGGAGGAGAAAATGGAAGTTATGTGGGATTGTGATAGTGATATTAAGGTGGAGATTGACCGGTTGAAAGACAACAAGTAGGGACTAGTAGGAGGCCTGGAACTACTACAAACAGTCAAGAGTAGTTCGGGGCGGCAGCATTGAGTAGGAATGTCGACGTCAGCAATGGGGAATGAGTCGGCCTATGGGACAGCAAAAGGAAAGTTGTCTTGTGGTTGTGGAAGCTAGAGGGATGGGTGAACAACGAAGATGGGTGGTTCAAACGAATGGCAGCTAGGTGGAAAGTGGCTGCAAGGGATGGCAACAACTGGAGGTGGTAGCTGACAGTTGAAATTGCAATACGACAGAAGGGTTGTTGTCCGGAAATCTTGGCAGAGAAGGGAGGAATGCAGAGGATGGAAAAGTTGGACATAAAATAACCTCGTTAGAAGAAGGTACAGTCGGAGAACCACTCGATCCCTTTGAAAGAGATTACCATCTCAGACGAGCTATAATCGGAGCACCACTCATCATTGGATACAACCTTAGAAAATAAAAATATGGACACACGCGGCGTTCCTGACATAAATGCAATAAAAAAATATTTTCAAGCCCTAATACAACACATATATAGGAAAGGACTAAAAAAATTAAGGATAATATGAAAGAAAGCATAAAGAAGGAAAATGGGACTATTTCGGTCTGTCTCCCATGATTAAGAGGAGTCACGGGTCGCGTCCTGTATTCGAAGTGGGAGCACTCCCACGTCGACACTCCTAAAGAGAAAAATCAAATATTACAATCTTCATAATACTTAAAAAAAGCAAAAATTCCCCAAACAGCAAAAGAAACACAAATAATCTCGTAATAGAGATATCATAATTAAAAAATAAATAAATAGGAAAAAAACAGAAAACTGAAAAAAAAAATAGTTTGACAAAAACAGTAGGATTTTCGCGATCCTATGGAATCACACATCACTTGCCTTCTCATTTTAGGTTAATATGTCTTCCTTGAACAGCATGACTTTCAACAAAAATGGTTGACAGCGGAGTAAGTTAATGATTTGAGCATCACTCGCTAAAGTGTCGCGTTTCAAAATCTAAGTATACCATTGCAAAATTTATGGGTGGCTTGTGACCCACAATCACCAATGTGAGCAACTTCAACAACATTAGAATATTTTTTATGTAACAAGCTAGTAATAAGAGGGGAAAGAGGTTCCCACCAAGATTTATGCAAGAACCACAAGAAGTCCAAAATGAATTCCCTGAGAGGATGATTTGTTTCCGACGTTAATGTAACTGATACAAGTCTAGATAGTAAAAAGGCAAGTGCTTCCACCAACAAAGCTCAACTCATCAAATATATTAAGTGTCTAGGAGTCAACCACGTCACTTCTAATTGTTCCAATCAATAAGTGTATTCGCTTTTTGAAGAAAAATCTAAATAGAAAAAAATAATAACAATAATATCAATCCCAAATCCAAATGAAAAAGCTTAAGTTATGCACAATTAAAGCTTATTACAATTTAGACTATTAAAATCAATTTGTGTACCCATGGTAAAAAATAAAATCTCTATTTGTCATTGGTTATAAGCATCATTTTTGGTCCGTAAAGTAGAAACAAACAATCTCACACCGGCATATTCATATGTGCACCCAATTTATGAAAGTAATAGCCTTTATAAGATTGGATCTCCTTCAACAGCATCTTAACATTCTCTCTCCTTCAACTCAAAAGTACCCTCCAAAATCCTCTCATAATTAATACCTCATGAAAAACTTCCCTTATAAGTATTCTGTCTAAGAAAAATTAATGTCCTGGATGGATGCTGATATCTTATTTGATGCTCGAGATTTTCTAACTATGCTAGATTTGCTACTGAGCAAAAATCATTACCATTACAACCCCCTAACTCATATTTAATCCAACCTTCTTTTTCCAAGTGCCATGTTTGTGGTTTTCCATTGAATTATCATAAGAAGCCATCACCAAATAAACACTTATTACGTTTTGGAATGCCTTTTGATAACTGTAGTAATCAAACAAGTTAGATAAAGGGTAAAACAAGTAAAAATTCCAATAAAATGCACCCATAAAACCACAGGAAAAGGTATTAAGCCAAAATCTCATATAGGAATCTTGACAACAGGAAGACACTTCAATGCGATTTTTATGAAGGCTTCACAACACATCACGAATAAAACCAAATTTCTTACAGAAATCTCACAGTGTAAAACGTGATGTAGCTGATTGCGAGAGTTAAGGTGATCTCAATGACTGCATCATTGAAGATGAACCCAAGCCAGAGTATAGATGCTATTCCGAAAGCTAGACCAAGGGCTACACTGAACATTATAGGATTTGATGATAAGCATTATCTATTATAGAAATATATATAATAAGTAAAGATATGAAAACATACGCTCCCAGTGAAACACGTGATAGAAATTGAATAATTTCTCCAACATTGAAGCTCATCCCAAGCACCATCTTGTAGAACAACTGATAAACAACAATTGCAGTCCTGCAGGGTGATCCAGAGTTAAGCTTGCAATTCAAGAAGTGCTAAGATTTAGAATGAAATAATCATCATGTTAAAATAAATTGGGATGACGTGTCTTTCATACCTAAAAATCAATTCCACCTTAAGATTACAAAAATTTTGAAATAATAAACATATAAATAAACAGACCAGCAGTATATTTAGAGGCCAAGTTATCAATGAGATATAGACATTTCAAGACTGCTCCTGACAATCACCTTTTTAAATGACGCAATAAACAAAAGTCAAACTCTCCAAATTTAAAATTTGCAGATTAAGGACCACCAATTAAATCAATTATTTGCCAACTTATAATGCAATCCATAAATACACAAAATTGCACAATAGCAGCTTAGTGATCGCTTGAATTGACTAAATTCAGTGAGAAACTCAGAAAAATAAATTCATGCTTTAAACAAAAATCATACCACAATCAGAAAATCTAATTGTAGCATTTTTTTTTCACCAAAATCAATCACATTCACAAAATTGATCACAAATTAAGATTTGAAATGAAGAAAAAGAACAAGATGAGCAATCACCAAATAAAAAATCCAAATCTCAAGGAGTAGATGGAATGAGTTAAAAAAATTTCTTAGATGAGGATTCCCAAAGAGATGAAAAGACTTAAAATCCAAGGTTTTAATTGAAAGTTCACGAAACAAACTCAAAACACATGCATTAAATAATAGGCAAATGGCAAAATATTTTAAAATTTTTAATTAATAAGACTTTGTCCCAATACACTAAAAAATTTTAAATTGCCTTCAATCCTAGGCCTTGATTGAAAATTCACCCAACAAACTCAAATCACATGCATTAAATGATAGACAAATGCCAAAATATTTTGAAAGTTCTAATTAGAAAGACTTTGTCCCAATACACTACAAAATTTTAAATGGCCTTCAGTCCTATTATTTAATTTTTTTAAAGACTACTATGATAATTTTTTTAGATTCAGATGAACCATTATGCCAAAACAACATAAGCGGGTTTATAATTTTATTAAGTGCTGGCCAATTCTCAATGAATATCTTCAGGTAACTGACAAATTTGATATGAGCAAGTAATATCACGATCCGGCCCGAAGCTTGGAATTAACCAAGACGAGTACAGATGGTCAGACGTTGTCAAATTTTCTATATTAATCTACAATATAATATATACAATATAACATATAAAAGAATCACTAATCAAATTATATTAAAGTGGCACAATTAAAATTACCTTACTACTGATTATTGGTGTCTTATATATACGTTTTCTCTTCTATCGCTCATATTTTAATCAGTTAAATTAACCTGAAAAGTTAGTTTAAAAAGAAGCTATGAGTCAAATCAAGTCGGTGAATACTCATACTCTCAAACTACAGCAATGCAAGGGGAAAAAAACAATATGCATGTTAGTTAAGTTTTTTAAATAAATCAGTAAAATATTTGATATTAGTCAAAGAACCTTATTATATCAACAGTACATCAATATTATATTATACAAGTACAACCGTCACAAGAGCACCGTCAAAACATTATGACAATTAAGAAAAAATAAATCAGTAAAATATTTTATATTAGTCAAAGAACCTTATTATATCAACAGCACATCAATATTATATTATACAAGTACAACCGTCGCAAGAGCACCGTCAAAACATTATGACAATTAAGAAACATTAAAATTAATATGTTTTTCTATATAAGTGCACGAATACCTTAGTGTATCTTATTAATGCCATCAAATGATGATTCCAGATAGTCAGACATACACATACACGCAAGTAATATAAATATATCATTCAAGTGTTTGTCGCATTAAATTTAATATACTATATATAACATGCATGATATTAACTATAAGCCTTTTTACCAAATTCACCAATAATATATATATATATATATCAAAATAAAATTTTTACAAATCTCATTATTAAATAATGTCTAAAAATTCGAGAAGAGTCAAAATGATATCATAGATTAAAAGTACAACTACTCACCTCGATGATAGAAGATTTGTTTGCTCTTAACTTGTATTACTTCTATTAATTATCACCTATAAAATATAAAATATTCAGTTATCGCTTTACTTAATTATATTTTAATTTAACTTTGAATTTATGTAGTATTACACTAACATAATTGGCATTTCAATACTTTAAATTTTAAGTTTAATTATGTAATCGAAATTTATATTAAAGAATATTAATTCTAAAAAAATGTGATTAGAATTAAAATCTTTACGTTTCTTTAGTGCTTGAATCAAATACATTTAAGTTTAACGTTTAAATAATAAATTTATGTATAATATTATATTATATTATATTATATATATATATATATGTGACTCCTTACACGTTAATATCAAAGGCGGTTACAAAATAAGAGAGGGAAAGAAGATCCCCGCTAAAAATAAAGAAAATACATATAGTCCTAGGGTTCCTCCTTCTGCATTACAACTCCACCCTAAAAAGAAAGAAAGATGAAACAAAGGTAAATATAAAATCCAAAAATATAATCCAAAAATACATGTATCCAAACAAAACGTATACCCAACAAAACGTATACCCAACAAATGAAGTATACCCCATATGATCATGTATAAAAATTAAAACAAAAATAGTGCAAGTTGCTAAGCCAAAAACAAACGTCTTGAAAGCTGGAAAGAGCACCACCAAGCATATCCCAAAATTCAAATACCTGCGGCTCAAAAACTGTGAATGCACCAAACAAGCAAGAAAACATGCGAGCAAGGAAGATGGAGAAGGATCCAAGCTCTTCCAACCCCCCCATCCTGAAATGCATAGAACAAAAAAGGAGTCACGGTCCTGCCCAGGACATAGAGTGAAAATATCCTAGAAATTTGGAGCTATGAGCCTCCATAACGAAGTGATTAAATCCATTCACCGAAAAAAAAATAAAGCTGGAGCAATAAGCTAAACCTAGTAACCATTCTCAACAGTATCCCCAATAAAACAACTGCAATAAATCTCATATGTCAGATCTCCACCTAAGCCCCCCCAGACCAATGCCCGAAGCAAAAACCGTCTACCAGGCCACCAAAAGGTATAAGAAGAATCTAAAGTAAAGTATAAGCATCCATCCAACATTAAAAACAAGAAAAAACCAAATAAAAGCTGCCCAATCGTAAGCAAAATAAGGAGCCCTGGGCCTCCCATATTATTCATCACATACGAAGTAATGGAGCCACATAGATAGATATATGTATGTATGCATGTTATGTATGTTATGTTTGCAACCCTGGGCCTCCCATATTATTCATCACATACGAAGTAATGGAGCCACATATATGTATGTATGTATGTTATGTATTTATGTATGTATGTATCTGTCTGTGTGTGTGTGTGATGTATGTACGTACATACATACGTATGTATGTAGGTATATATGTATGTATGTATGTATGGTATGTACATATGGTATGTACGTATGTAGGTATGTATGCACGCATGTATGTATGCACGTATGTAGGTATGTATGTATGTATCTACGCATGTATTTATATTAATATTTATATTACTTAAAACAAAGCTTACCTTTATCCTATGTTCCCACATGTGATCCCTTTCCTTTTCTTCTTTGGTGCTCGGCAAGGGCATGTGGTTCCTTGCTACGGCTCGCTCAATTCAAATGCTTCTGCTCTTCCTCTTGTCTCTTCTTCATCGGCGCTCGATTAGGGCACGATCGAAGTCTTGTGCATGCAAGAAAGCTCCTCCTTCCTCTTCAACTCAACTAGACTCGACATAATAGCGCAAAGTTGTGATCCCCTTCTTCCAAGCACAAGGCCTGATGCGCCGTCTATTCTCCCGCGTGGTCCTCCTCTGCTCGACACTGACGCTACGCTCGACGTCTTCCGTGCCACTTGACTCACAGGAAAATGAAGCTTTCTTTGGCCGGTCGTTTTATAGGTGAACTCATCATATAGTCTTTCGATCCCCTCGTTTTAAATTCAAGACTTCTCGCTTTATCTCCCTCCTGTTCGATTTGCTAACTTTTGTTTCCCCTTCCTCAACTATCTGTTGCTCAACTCCTTGTTTCTTCTTCTGCTGGTTTTTCTTATTTCCTCTACTTCGATTACAAAAAAATAGGACGTTACAATTATCCCCTCTTATAAAAATTTCATCCTCGAAATCGAAATTTATAAATCGTAAGCAGATAAAACATTAGTCATCCATGAAACTAGGGGTCATTCATTAAGATAAAAGTAATCACTATAAATATAAAGACCCGATTTAAGGCGACTCAATTATACTACGGATAACAATAATAAAGCAAAAAAATATGCTAAGAAAATGCCAAACACATTAGACCTCACCACTATTAGCAGTAGTAGATTCTTCAAGATCACTATGAGTAAGGGAATATACTCGAGCTCAAATAGTTTGTCTTGATTGATCTTAAGTAGGAGCTGAAGTTGTAAACTATTTTTTTATGCCCGCCTGCTGACTTTTGTGAAGAGCTCCACTAGATTTCTAATCTTTAGCACTTTTCTGGTTAAGAAATAGATAATATATTGTTGTATGACTAAACTGACGGCACCAATAACAAGTGTTTGAGCCCATAAAACATTCATATTTATGTTGTCTTTCGCATTTAGCATAGTCGTACCTCTGCTAACTCCACCTGAATTATTCTTAGACTTCTTCTCAATGGATCCTTCTGAGTTATCTACATGTTCTTCTACAGTGTTCCTCTTATGCCTCTCCTTATGCTTCTGACTAAGCTGATAGTTGATCTCCACTCTTCTAGCTCGTTCCACCAATATCAAGTAGCCATCGATTCCAAAAGGTACTAACAGCTGAGAAGGTCCCACATAGATTCAATATGAGAGACAAAACGAGTTTGCACCCTCTTAGCCAGTCACTTTAGACTAAATAAGAAACAATTGTTTAAGTATGAAACAGAATAAACACAGATGAGAAGAACTCTGTATGCTTCAATAGTTAGAAGTTTGATATATGTGATGATATG